TAATTTTGAAACCAACTTAGCAAGTTTCCTTTAATACTATAGGATTCTAGTTTGTATACTAACCCTTCATGGCACATTCTATCGAAGGCTTTACTTATGTCACAGAATACAGAGCGGATTTCTCGTCTTTTATCAAGGGAATCCATAATCGTATGATATAGGTTTTGATGCACTAGGTTTTCTTCTTTGTGTAATAAGCAGACATAAAACGCCACTGTTGATATGCTGTTCCCTCTACAACGCTTGTGGGACGTCTTTTTATAAACTATGGGTTTACGGTTTGTGAATCATCTTGTGTGCATAAAGCGTCGAGAATAAACCACGAAAAGCGCAACAATTCCTCAGCCAGCCAGCCAATGGTTCAGCACTGGGTTGACGTCAACCTCATGAATATGTAAAAAAGTGGCACGATGACTGCGAAAAACTTGGAAACTTGGAAATGGCGTGTGTTTTTAGAGAAAATGGAGATCATGTCCGCGGAGGACAAAATGACTTGTGAAATCCGGTGGTCATTATCAAACATTCCATCAATGACGGACCCAGCGACGAATAGCTTGTTTACGTAAAAGTTATTTTCGGAGTATTAATTGTGTTAATGATGTTGAAACCAAAACTTATAAGCGCTTTGTATCTTCGCGATTTAATCATTCGGAAATAAAACTTTGGAGAGCTTCGAAAGGGATGGGATTAGTCATCATGTGCTGAAATATACTCCTAACTCCATCTGCAAACCACTTGAAATACTTTTTAAAATGTCACTTTCTTCATTTGTGTATCTAAATAAATGGACCGCCATACGCCGAGTAGCTATCTAGAGTTGGTACAGTGTTACGGCGTGTTGTTAACAAACACTTGCATAACTATTTTTGTTATAAGTCGCTTGTTTCATCGACACCAGTCGGGTTTTGTGCCTTGTCATTCTCTTTTTTAAATTCAACAAAATATGTGTATGGCTTTAGAGGACAGAAAGCAAAGATTCGTTATTTTTGTGTTATCACAAAATCATTTGATCGTGTGTGGCACCGGGGCCTGATTTTAAAAGCATACGGAATTTCTGAGGAATTATTGCACTGTTTCTAAACATTTTATTCAGGTTGGCAAGTTTTGATTGTGAACAGATTGATATAGCACAACCAAAAAGTGTTGGACCGCTAGTGAGTATTTCGGAACACCGTGTCGAGAACTCGAACCATCTAGCTGAAGCTGGGTCTACGACCAGAATTCAGGAAGACGAAGAATTCATTTCACATGATGTTGTCTCTCTTTACGAACAATTCTGAAACGCTTAGACTCCTGGCGTAAGAACACAAAACTCCAGGTTCAAGATATCATGGATTAGCTGGACTTTGTACTGACAACAACATATTTTAGTTTTAGAATCAAAATCAATCAGCAACGCCTCGGCACTGCTATGGGTTGTCCAGTGTCTCCCATTGTGGCCAATTTGTTCATGGAACATCTGCAGCAAGAAGCAATAGCCACGTATCCCACAGAATGCAAGCCTAGTTTATGGAAACGATATGTTGACGGCATACTCGAGATAATCAAGAAGGGTCACAGAAGGATTTGACCACCCATATCAACACCATAGAATTCACTAACAACATCAAATTTACATGTGAGGAAGAAACCAACAGCATAATGCCCTTCCTAGACACTCTACTGGTAAAGGAAGACGACGGAACCGTGAAAGTATTGGTCTACAGAAAAAAGAGCAATACGGACCAATACCTGTACTTTAAATCTCACCATCCTTTGCACCAGAAGTTAGGCGTCGTACACACATTGCTCAATAGATGTGATACAAGTGTCACAGAACAACAGGGCAAAATTCAAGAGCAGAGTCACATCGCTTGGACAATAAAGACCTGTGAAAATCCGGAATGGGCCCTAAAACGGGTACAAAAACTGTGTCAAAGTAAGGGGAAGAGCAAGGAAAGGCCAATCAAGGATAAGAACAAAACCGTATATCTTGTATATAAAAGGTATATCAGAAACAATCCAGAGGATATATCGCGGGCATTGCATAGCAACATCAATGAAGCCCCACAAGGCGCTTCGTAATATCCTAGTACACCCTAAGGATAAAACACCTAAAGAAAACGTCGCAGAAGGCGTATACAAAATCGGATGCGAAAACTGCGATACATCGTATATTGGAGAGACTGGGCGGCGATTTTGATCCGCCTTGGAAAACACAGGGAAGATACGGAAAACCAAGAGAGAAAGAAATTCCCCCGATCAGAAAGGAAGCAATCACAGAACCATGCCACACAGAACAATCATGTGATTGACTGGGATAACTCAAATGTATTGGACAGAGAGAGCAATCTGTTCAAGCGATGATATTTATTACTGATGCACTTGACTCGGTTTCCAGGTTATATGCATATGATACATCTTTACTTTATTCTGATTTTCATGTTACAAAATCCATACTATTCTCAACAAGGACCTATAATCTTTAAATGATTGGGTTAAACTTTGGTTTGTTTCTTTTATTCCTCAAAAAAAAAAAAAAAAAAAAAAAACGAGCGTACCGACGTACAAAGACATTTAGGGGTAAATTTCAATTCAAATGGAAAATGGAGGAATCATGTTGAGGAAATTTATAGTTCGATAATGAAAGAGATTAATGTTTTACGATAATTCGAATACATGTTGACAGAGATTCGGTTTTAAAAATAAATAAATATTTCATTTAACCAGTTGATGAATATGCCTGTGAATTAAGGGTTGGTTGCACTGCTTTTGAATCTGAGAAATTAGAGAAAGCACAAAGAGAGGCGGCCCAAGTTATAACAAAAATGCCTTCGTATACAAGTAACGATTCGTTATATTTTGAAACGGGACCAGAAACACTATCAGCTACGATATAAAGGCGAAAGATAAATATCTTTTATAAAACGAAAAACAATTTAACCCCGACTATTTATTGGCCCTTCTGCCAAACACAGTGGGTAACAACAATCGGTACAATTTACGTAACCAATATGATTACAGACTCTCCTCAAGCAACTCCTCTTTTCTGCCATCGCGTGTACGTCTTTGAAATTCGCTAGACAATACAATAAGAACGTTGCCATCTTAAAATAATTTCTAATATCTAGTGGTGAAAAATCGTCTCCACCGTCTTTTTATAATTTTGACGGCAATATAAATATATTACATTCGAAAATCAGACATCAGTGCAGCTCTTTGAAAAAAGGGTTTGTTCTGTTTTAAGATTGCTGATAATTCAGTTTGTGCTTGTTGACATTCCTATGAGGATGCTCGTCATTTTTTCTTAGAATGAAGTTAACTAAAACGTTTCAAAACGTTAGCTCGTTGAATATACAGACAGTTACTTAAGATTTGCTATCATTTGGCAAGGAAAAGTCCGTAGATACCAATACAGAAGTATTAAGTCACGTGCAACTTTTCATCAATTCTAGCAACAGGTTTTCAGAAAAGCATAATCATTATAAAATATTTTATGTTGCCTTGTTAAATACTTTTTATGTAAATATCAATATGGCATTGTATCAGAGGGAAAGGGCATTGATAAGTTGATATAACTTGTTCTTAATCCTCTGCTCAAATTTGGGGTAATGCATATTTCTAAATCCTGTTTCTATTTAATTTACAATTGTTTTCCATTGCAAGGGTTTCCAAAACACACCTGTCGAGCAGCATATCTATGACGTCACATTTACATTACGTATTTGTATTGTGACGTCACAATCAATTATATAATTATTGCCCCCCCCCCCTCTCCTCCATCCCTTCCCCTGATGCGAACTGAGGCGTTCTAGATAAATAATTTTATCAAACTGTATGCCAATTAAATGCATGGAGAGTTTTTAAATCAGCAACATATAGATCTATAAAGCATTCGCACTTTCATACAGTATCAATCTTCAGATATTTTACACATAGCTACACATAGTAGATACAGACTATGACGTCATTATTGAAATTGATAATGTATGTATTTACATTTCTGATTTTTGTCCATCTAATTGGACAATGAGAACATAATGAATTTAAGAATATTTATTTAGCGTTGAATAATGACCATCACAAACATAGAAACATTGTAAAATTAAACTCATTCTAAGCGGGATTTAAATGCATTGTCGAGGGTAGCAAGACGATTTTCCCCTGTATTCTGCAACATGCATGTATGCGGATTTCCTTTCAAAAATATTTAAGATGGCTTAAGACTTTACCCTCCTTTCTTGAAAAATATTGTGTTGGGGAAATGCCCCCTCCCCTATCGCTTTCTATGCTACTGAAATAGTCACGTCTGTGAAAGCTATGAACCATTAACCATTATACATGTCAAATAATAGGATCTGGATAGTGATGTCATTTGATCGATGTGCACATTTTATCCTTTTGAAACCATTGACTCATACGAATGGATAAATAATTCAACGGTCTATATATTATTCTACAACGATTGATAAAACACGCTGTATTGGTAATTTAAGGTAAACATATTATACATTGACTTGTGGAGCTAGTCAACAGATTGTGTCTAAATCCACTAACATAATGTACATAGACATACATGTATAAACAATAAATATAGAAGGACAATATAGGTTGGAAACTTGTAGTATATCACTTTGTATGCTGTTTGCATTCCGCGGATTTTATTATTATGCCTACATAATGCTATTAAATCATACCGTAATACATCTTCCCCGGCCGAGCCGCAAGTTGGATGTTCTATTAATGAGGGCGAAAATTTAGCATTGCAAAATGTTCAACAAAAGTAAAACCGCAGATACATTTATTATCAACTTTAATTCGATAAACATTTGGGTATCGGAAGAGGTTATGACGTATAACTGGAAGTTTTGAAATATGAAACAACCCATCCTAATATTAGACTACGTAGTGAAATGAGAGATCTGATTTTGATTAGATTGAATATTAGATAGCTAGACACATTAGTAAAGCTTCCCTACTAATTACAGTTGAGAAATTGTTTAAATTCAATAAATACTTACCCATTGTAACAAGAGTATTGAGCACCCAAATCTTCCTCTTGAAGCTGGACAATAAAACGTCTCCGAGATACATCATGATGTTTCAGGGGAAATGACTAGCTTTCACTCCCTGTCCCGAGACTTTCAACTAGTAGAGGAAACCAATTCTTTCACTATATTCACCAAATGGTAACGTGTGAGATTTTCTGGATATTTCTTTCATATCAGTCTGTGTGGAAACTTGCGTTCTGAAAGGATTCCAAAACACCTGCAGTCTGAGGGAGTTCAATTGAAAGATCCCCGTAAGCATGCGCGGATCTGGGTCCCAAGTGTACGGCACACGTGCCACAGAAACCGCTGTTCTGCTATCAAAGCCAACGATTTTATAACAACGCCGGGCCGAAGCATCCTCTTTAACGGTAAATCAATACCAGGTGATATTGGTGTATAGGTAGCCCACAAGCGAGCGAAAATCTATCAACCTCCTTTTATAGGCCTTGACATGAACATCTTAACTGATCAAATCCAAAATCCATCAAAGATTTCTTTTTAAAATACGAGTGCGATTCCTGCTTTGCAGCTTCATACATGTAAGCTTTCCCAGTTCAACCAAATTGTTTAATATATCACTTACCGATTCCTACCTGTCAGTTTGCACCTGAAGCCTCGCTATTGATCTGCCCCGGTGTCATCTAGCTATCCGCTACGGTGTTGTTGTTTATGGCGATTTTATCATCTTCATGTCACCTCTTAAAAGCCAATCGGAATGGTATTGTTGCGGTAGGAGAATGTATTTAATTAGAATTTTAGTATGGAGCAGCATCCACAACGGCATTCTGATGACGCTGATCTCACCTCCGTAATTGGGCTGACTAGTTCCAGTTTCCAAGTTGGAAAAACGGATTTACAAATGGAATCTAGCAGACGATTGTGTCTACTCAGTTAAAGTTGTAACCATGGGAAATAATTTATTTGGTAAATAATTGTATGTGTAGAATTTAATAATAACGTTTTCGATATTATTTGGATCGTACTTCGACGGTATTCTAAAAGATTATACTACAATGTATTAGTCTATTCAGAAGACGTTCAACACATCCGCCACAGTCAATTCAGTGTCAAAACATGAACAAGAGAACATTCACATCACTTTTTCACACTGTTCCGACAAAGGAGGAATTTAGAAAGTATAGATGGAGGGGTTCTCCATGTGTTTTCATACCGTACCAGTGATAGAACACTTTCTCCCACAATCAATTTTGGTTTATTTCTCGCGTCTTATTGAATCAATCTCCTTGGAGTTGTTAAGCTATGTTGGTTACCCACTGTGAATAGCACCTTTCGCGTTATTCATTGGCAAATCTTATAACTATGACGTCACGTAACAAAAGATTTTGACACCATCTTCCAATGTGACGTCAAATGTCATTACAGTTGAAACAACTGTAATGACATTTGTCATGTTTCTCAATCGGAAACAGAAATATTGTATTCACAAGGGAAACAGAAGGATATCTAGAAATAGTATGAATAAAAGGGAAAAAGATCTCAAAAATCGTAATAGCCGGTAATCATGTATGTCTATCTCGAAAAACATGATAACCACAGAAATGTCCAAGGAAGGTGTAAAGTCGCCATCCTGATCTAATTAGATACTACGATATTTCTCTGTCTGATCTTATTGGATACTGTATGGTATTTCTCTGTCTGATCTAATTAGATAATATGGTATTTCTCTGTCTGATCTAATTAGATACTACGGTATTTTTCTGTCTGATCTAATTAGATACTACGGTATTTCTCTGTCTGATCTAATTAGATACTACGGTATTTCTCTGTCTGATCTAATTAGATACTTCGGTATTTCTCTGTCTGATCTAATTAGATACTACGGTATTTCTCTGTCTGATCTAATTAGATACTACGGTATTTCTCTGTCTGATCTAATTAGAAACTACGGTATTTTTTTGTCCGATATGAAGGTCGATGTTTTGTATTATACTCATTAGTGTGCCTTGTGGTGTTGTTGTCACTACTCAAGTCGATTTATAAGGGGATGTCGTAGATGACATAACTAGGATTTGACCTCGATTTATAAGGGGATGTCGTAGATGCTATACAGAGTAACTAGAATTTGACATTGATTTATAAGGGGATGTCGTAGATGATATACAGAGTAACTAGAATTTGACCTTGATTTATAAGGGGATGTCGTAGATGACATAACTAGGATTTGACCTTGATTGATAAGGGGATGTCGTAGACGACATAACTAGGATTTGACCTTGATTTATAAGGGGATGTCGTAGATGACATAACTAGGATTTGACCTTGATTTATAAGGGGATGTCGTAGATGACATAACTAGGATTTGACCTTGATTTATAAGGGGATGTCGTAGATGACATAACTAGGATTTGACCTTGATTTATAAGGGGATGTCGTAGATGACATAACTAGGATTTGACCTTGATTTATAAGGGGATGTCGTAGATGACATAACTAGGATTTGACCTTGATTTATAAGGGGATGTCGTAGATGACATAACTAGGATTTGACCTTGATTTATAAGGGGATGTCGTAGATGACATAACTAGGATTTGACCTTGATTTATAAGGGGATGTCGTAGATGACATAACTAGGATTTGACCTTGATTTATAAGGGGATGTCGTAGATGACATAACTAGGATTTGACCTTGATTTATAAGGGGATGTCGTAGATGACATAACTAGGATTTGACCTTGATTTATAAGGGGATGTCGTAGATGACATAACTAGGATTTGACCTTGATTTATAAGGGGATGTCGTAGATGACATAACTAGGATTTGACCTTGATTTATAAGGGGATGTCGTAGATGACATAACTAGGATTTGACCTTGATTTATAAGGGGATGTCGTAGATGACATAACTAGGATTTGACCTTGATTTATAAGGGGATGTCGTAGATGACATAACTAGGATTTGACCTTGATTTATAAGGGGATGTCGTAGATGACATAACTAGGATTTGACCTTGATTTATAAGGGGATGTCGTAGATGACATAACTAGGATTTGACCTTGATTTATAAGGGGATGTCGTAGATGACATAACTAGGATTTGACCTTGATTTATAAGGGGATGTCGTAGATGACATAACTAGGATTTGACCTTGATTTATAAGGGGATGTCGTAGATGACATAACTAGGATTTGACCTTGATTTATAAGGGGATGTCGTAGATGACATAACTAGGATTTGACCTTGATTTATAAGGGGATGTCGTAGATGACATACAGAGTAACTAGAATTTGACCTTGATTTATAAGGGGATGTCGTAGATGACATAACTAGTATTTGATTGATAAGGGGATGTCGTAGATGACATAACTAGGATTTGACCTTGATTGATAAGGGGATGTCGTAGATGACATAACTAGGATTTGACCTCGATTTATAAGGGGATGTCGTAGATGACTTAACTAGGATTTGACCTTCATTTATGTCGTAGATAAAGCTTACCATTTCGGAACTCCAAGTCTTACTCTCCCTGTACTTTTTCAAGGGTTTTCCTTTTGGTAATATTTTGTCCTGGTTTGATCGATTAAGAGTTTGAACCAGTTTTTTTTTACACTTGGGCATTCTTTCGTTTCTGTTTGTTTTTCGTTGTTTTTGGTTGTTTTGTCTTTAAGGGAAGTACCTTAAAATTGCTTGAAAGTGTATACAACAACAGAAAACAGATAACGCCTTGGTTTTACTGTACTCTGTTGGTTTATTATTGCAGTCATATGGGGGTATACTTGAACACATGTATTGATGTGGCGCCGGATGTTTATCATTCATTAAAGAATCATACCCTACTTTTAAGGGTGTGAAAGAAATTTCTAATCCGAAGGAGGATACTCTTGATCATCCCGAGGGTTGGATATTTCTCTGTCATACCCTCAAAGTATGGGATGATTGTTTTTCTCTCTTCCTGTTTCATTCACAAATCCGCCAACAAGCGGTGGTTGCATGAAAAATAAGCGTTGATTGCATGTTTTCCCAGCAAATCCAAAGTTTTCGTTCCAATATCTGCTACTGTTGACGTGACGTCAATTCATTGATGATGTGACGTCATACTGTTGTTATGACTTAGATCGCGTCATTCTGCACTAGGCTATCTCCCCCTAGGGGGTGACAAGCTGATCTTTTCCGGCTTACAAGGGAGAAACACATGTGAAGGATGGGATAATATATGATTAATTCTATGTGTGGCTTGGTATATGCAATCTAAATTCACTATAGCCTTCCGTCTCGAGTTCGGCATCTTAGATGCAACTGTCCGCATACCCTTCACCTATTTGTTATCAGGAGGAATTTGATTGAACTGCTGTGGTGTACCTTATTTGGGGTACTAGTAAGGCGTAGAGTTACTATGGGGGATAACTTTTAAGATATATAAATATTAAAGAACTGCTGTAATGCTGCCAACCTATGTAGCAATGTCAAATTTAACAAATGAAGAGCATTGGTAAGGTGGGTAAGTATTTTTAAGTAACAGTTCTGATGTAGCTGGTGTTTACAGCAAAGCTTAGGATCCCAATGAATCAATTATAGTCACGAAAACAATCCATTCAGAGATATATTTTTACGTAGAGTATTTTACCTTATATATAGTCGACAATTCAACCAAACGGAATTCTCTGGCTTACACTTACATCCCTTTTCAATAAGGTAATATAATATGATACTGGATGCAGACCAATGCCTATATAGCAAGCTCATATGTACCGTCAGCATCATTCATTATTGTCAAGTTCATGATTGTAAAAACATTCTGGTTTTCCAAAAGTGCTTATCTAACCGGGCTTCAAACGTTTTTATGGTTGGTGATGTGAAGACGTGATTGGGCAGAGAATTCCAATGGTTGATCGCTCTTTCTTTCTAATGCTGTTCGTTTTTTATCGTTTATACTTAAGAAGAGGCCTTCCGTTACAGAATTGTCATCGTTTCCATTTATTAGTTTATAAACTTGTATCGTATCTGTTCGTAATCTTCTACATTTTAAAGTTGGTAATTTTTAGAATCTTTAATCTGTCTTGTTAACTCAGGTGTTTCATTCCTGGAATATTTTTTGTTGCTTTTATTGTACATTTTCGCAATGTCCTTTTGTAGGTATGGAATCCATATGCTAGCTCCGTATTCCAGATGTGGTCTCACAAGCGTTGTATACAAGAGATAAAACGTTGACACGTCTTAATATGTTTACGTTATTTTAATTGTTCCCATAATCCTGTTTACTTTGTTGACCGATCCATGTATATGATCTTGCATTTTTCCGTGTGGAATTTTTCTGTAGGTTCTGATTTTCGCTGCAGGTTCATATTTTCTTTTTAAAT